TGCTATTACACAGAGTATGACAGGTAGCTGAAGCAGACTTCAACAAATGAATATGTTAGAGAAGTCTCCTTTTTATGTGTCTTGCAGGTAATGCGGAAGAAAATTTTTTTTTTTTGTATCTAAAGAATAGCAGTCCTCAGCTGTGGCAATCTCTAAATGAAGACTGGAACTTTACTTTAATGATCTCCATTTTGGAATTGAAAAGCTTGTAACTATGTGATAAAAGCAACATAGCTATGAAATAAAATACAAATACAATACTTACTTACATTGTCATCTTTACTTCATTGTGGCTTCTTGTAACTTGCTCTCACAAATTTTTATATCTTTGCAAGAACAACTCTTTGTTGTGATTCAGCTAAAGAGAGGAAATTGCCATCTAGTTATATTGAAAGAAAAATCTAACTGGTGTTTTAGACAGCAGTCAATAAACTGAAGTAATGTCTAATAATGTAGTATTTTTTTTCATAATTGTTCATAATTCCCTTTCCCCAAGGCAGTTTCACTGTGAAATCTCTCATTAAGAGCGAGCTATGGCCTCTATGAAGCTAACAGTTGAATTGCTCTGGTTTTGATATTATGGAAGAATTGCAAAATTACATTGTGGTTGTGAGAAAGGCTGTTGTCTTTTTAGAGAGGTCAACCTTAAATGGACTGTGGGAGAGGAGAACACTTTGCCATATTTCTGGCATATAGCAGTGAAAAGAATTTATTTTTTTCACTCCTGCATATTTTTGCTAAATGAACCTCTTGACTTAAACTACTTGTACTAAGTGCCTTTAAGTGTTGTCTGTGCAGGCTGGGTTTGTTTTTAATCTACAAAACTAATTAATTCCAGTGGGAATTGCTTTTAGAAAAGCATGGGGATTTTAAAAATACATATTTTATTCTGAAGACTACTTCTAATTTTTTTCTTTTATTTAAAAAATAATTTTGGTCCTAAACTGCTCATAGCAAACTTTCTTATTGAGGCCTATGAATGAAATGGAAAACTGACTTCAGTTAAGTGCTTTCCCATAGCCCTTATGGATCTGTATGGACTTGGAGGTTTGTAATTCCGCAAACAGTATTATTGCTCATGTTCTTAAAACAGAATTCCCAATTTTGGTTTTCCATTTATTTGACTGAAACTGAAGTATCTCTGTAGACTTAAAAAAAAAAAAAAATCTTTCATGGGACTTGTATGTTGGCTTTTTCTTCAATATATCCTGCATTTTCAACATTGAACAGGTAACAGTTTTTATTTTTAGAATTTTTTTGTATTTGGGTTTTGTCCTGCAAGGTAATGGGGTGTTACAATGAAAGTCCCAATATTTTCTAAATTATGAGTTTTCCTATTATTCTTGTGATATACAGAAACCTACTCATAGAAAACTGACAGAGGACAGTATCTCTTGAAATTATGGTGGGGAAAAGTTGCTGTGAAAAACTTAAAATAGAAAGTCTCTTGGAAGAATGTTCGTTCCCTTGTCTATTAAGAGGAGCAGTGTGCGTACTTAATTCTTGTGTGAGGTATCCCCAAAATAGTGGAAAATGGCAGTGGATTCATCTTGTTCCCCCACAAATCATGTTTATTTTTTCCTGCAGTTCAGAAGGCAAAGCATCCTTGGACTAACTGAATTCTGCTGTTTCTATTTGTTTTGGTGGCTATCTGCTAATTTATAGTTTAGTGTCTATTTATATTTATAATGCTATAGCATTAAAGAAGGTAACCGTGGCTTAATTAAGAGCTATTATTTAAAGGTCTCTTTTGGGAGATCCTGTTGCTTTAAATCTTTCTGAAATTGGAGAATACTTGAAGAGCTGAGTTGTAGTGCCTACTTGAAACATTAACTTTTGTTATCCATGTGGAAAAGGAAGGGAACTGTTTTGAGAGACCCAGAACATTTTGAAAAACTCTCTAAATGTTATGCTGACATATGAGGCTTGTGTGCCAGGTTTCTCAGCTGAATTGTCTGGTGACTCTGACTTTTGCCTGCCACATATTACACAGAGTTTCTGTAAAGTAAAACATAGCCATGGCTAAGAGAAAAATATAAAATCATAGATGTAAGTGTATGCTCCTTAGCAACTAATTGCTACAATTTTATTGATCCCCACTGGTAAAAATTTGGGAATGGATTCTCTTCGTTTGCATTCTAACCTTCCAAATCTTAGTATTTAATTTTTCAAGACTTTTTAATTTTTTCTCCCTCCATTTACCCAGGAAAGCTGAATTTTCACTTTAAAAAACTTTCGAGGATAACATTAGTGCAATTCCAGGAACTATAGCTGTGATTAAAAATACGAACTGCTGTGAGATTTTTGATGTTGTATGCTGTTATCGTTACTGTTTTATTTCCTTCTCTGTGTGCTAAAAGTAAATGTGGGTGGTGATTTTAATGTTGCATTGAGAGAACATTATTAAGCTTTGTGAACACATAGCAGGTAATAAAAGGCTGGATTGTTTAACAAAGATTTTGTTTTTTAAAAAAACCACATTTATATGATGCCAACCATTTTGCTATTTTTAGCAGCTTGTTCCAGTAATTTGGTTTCACGTTTGTCAAGTGCAATCAGTACTTTCCAGAATACAAGGTATTCTGGCTCAGGATTTTCCTTTCTTTTAGGGGAGAGGTTGGTTTATTTCTTTATTTCTTTATTTTTATAATTCTGTGAACAAGTTCAAGTGTCTAAGAGACAAACTGAAACATTTTAGACTTCACAGTTTTATGATTAATCCAGTGCAAGTCAGTGCTGCCGCTGAAAGGGGCATACTGCTGCTGCTTTTGTGCTGACACAGTGAATCATTGGAGAATTGCTCTGGTTGAACGCTAAACAGTCTCTGCCAGGTTAGCGTTCAGCCAGAGCGATTCCTTGTTCCAGTTCATTACATGGTTGCACTAACTAGTTGTCAAAGCTCTGGACAAAAGCAAAGGTGGGAATGAGCAATGGCAGAATGAGAAGGGACCTTTTAACAGAAGCACCAATTTATATGATATTAAGTTGAAGTTATGACCCCTGCATTTCATGCTGACTTGTTTACCTGTAAGGGGCTTTATCACTAATTTCATGTTGTTTATGACAGTAAGAAGGGTAAACTGCTGCAAGTTCTGTAGCTGAAAGTGATTCAGAAGCTTCACAAGTAGCTATGGCTTTGGAGTAATTTTCTTGTTCTTCAGGAGACCTAGGCACTGAACACCTGACAAGTTGAATAAACCTTTTATTGCTCCCGTTGATACGGCATCTGTATATTTTAGGCCTGAAAACTCAGTCATGTGAGTAGCTGTCCCATGGCTTTCCCCTTTTCAGGGGAGCCAAACACTTCTGTGTCTCTTCCCAGGATCTCTGATTATGGATTGCCCTACAAAAGCTGCTAGCCAAAATGTTTAGAGAACGCTGAAGTGATGTTGTGAAAAGCATTGTGGAAAAATATTGCAGAAGAGGAGTCTTTTAAGGGTGTAGTTCCTCTTCTTTGAGGTTTGAAAGGATTTGAAATGTTGTCATTTCAGTATTAGAAAATAAAAAATTGAGTTAGTTGGAGTATAGAGGTACTGCAAATTTGCATGAAGTTCCCCTTCCCCTCCTTACTTTCATCTCGTGCTACAGTACCTTGCAATATAGTGGTTGGTGCCTAAGTTGTATAATCTTATGCTAAGATTTCTTAGTAAGCATGCAGGATGAATAACTGATTTTTCCTTTAGCTGAGTCCTCAGAACACTTTTGATAACAAGTTTTAAAAGTCTTGCAAAGTGTGACAATGGAAAATACCTTTTCGGTATAATTTCTGTAAGAAAGAGCAGGGTAAGAACAGGAGGAGAAATGAGGTTGCAGGGGACAGGATTATGCTGTCTCTTCCAAACCGCCTTTCTGTTAGCAGAGGCCAGTGTTTCTGCAGTTGTCAGACTAGGACGTTCTAAATACAAGACACTTTTCAGTTTTGGTGCACTTATTATTTGGTAATACCCGTGGACCACCACTCCTTCATAGGTGGGACCTTGGCAGCTGTGGCAGTCTTTTTTTCAAAGATGGGAACCAGATGCCCATGCTTGGTTAGCTTTCTAGGTGGGATCCCCAGAAATCTGGTGATGGAAACATGAGGATCTAAAAGAAGGTGGTCCCTAGCTCCCTGAAGGGGTATAACAGTTCAGGTTTATTGCTTGGCAGCTACTGTTTAAATATTTCTCACTCAACTACTAAAAAGATAAGTATTTCATGAGATCAGGTACTTGAAATTGTACTTGTGATATTTGAGCATAGTCTGTCAGCTAGTTTTGCTCTTAATAGAAACTTGCATTTCACTGCCTTAAAATCATGTGCTTAGTGAACATCCCTGGCGTTGGGAGAACAACTCTTTCCAGATCTGGAATGTGCAGCTGAGCAGTGATGTGTACTGCCTGATCAGCTGATGAAATGTGGGTTTGGATGTGTGATTTTTGTAAACGACTTCCAGATGTTACAGTTGCCAGCTGAATGTCTCAAGACTGCACTGTTAGGTCTAGATTATGAAACAAAATGGATGAAATGTGCAGCAGATAAACTAGTGAGCCTATGCTTGGAATTGTTCTCTCTCTCAAAAAAAAAGAAAAAAAAAAAAGGGCAGCACGATTCTGTAGTCAAGTAAGCAATGGCAGAAAAATATAGATGCTTTTAGTTAGGGGTACCTGCATTAATTTATAGCCTGCAAAGAGCTTGAATGGTCTAATAGCTAACGCCAAGCAATTTTCTGTGTAGCTGCTGTGTTAGGAGCTTTGAGTTCTTCTTTATCTCACTTAAACTTCCTTGTGCTAAAACATGACTGTTACGGTGCTAAAACTGACATCCAATTACCGACAATACTATCTTCTTTAGCAGCAGAAATGAGTTTGTTTTGGAATTTTCCTAGAGTTTTCATGAAATCTCCATATAGGAACTCTTTTATTTGCAACAATTTGTTTAAAGATTTTAAATCCTCATACTTGTTGAGGGTAGGGGTTTAGCTTGAAAGCAGAGTGTTTGATTTCTCTCTTTATTTTCCCCAGGAAGTACTGACATAACCATGATAGAAGACAAAGGTCCACGAGTGGCTGACTATTTTGTAGTGGCAGGGCTCACCGATACAGACACTGCAACCCTCCTGGACCAAGAAATAAGCCGACATGAAACAAAGTCAACTGTTCCAAAGGCTCCAATTACTGACATTGCTGTGATAATTAAATCAGCTGGTGAAACTGTCCCAGAGGGATACACCTGTGTTGAAGCCACCCCTACAGCCCTTCAAGCCAACTTAAACTATGGAAGTCTAAAGAGTCCTGAACTTTTTCTTTGCTACAAGAGAGGCCGGGACAAACCACCTCTTACTGACATCGGGTGAGATTTATATAACAATTCAGTTCCTCCTTCAATAATGATCAAATCTTTCTCTTTATAGATAATGATGAAAACAGATGTGAGAAAACTTTTAAAAACATACTGTCTTTGAATCTGTATTGCTTATTGTGTGTATCTGTGTAGTATTTCCTTTCTGAAATAAGTTGAAAAAAGTGTCAGTCTTCTAGTGAACTTGTCTTTTTAAAATAAATGATAATGTTTTAACTTAAAAAGACATGAGAGAGAGATGGAGCATCTCAGATATGAGAAATGAAGTTCTCTGCTGCAGTTTTATGAAAGGTGAGAGAAAATTACAAAATTAATTTATGGAAATGGTATAGTGCAAATCCAAAAATATAACATGCTTAATCTGAAAGCGATGACTTCAGAAGACAAAGATTATCACTTTCTGGAATCCACTTTAATGCTTAAAGTAAAAGATATCACTTAAAAATGGTAAGACACTGAAACAAAGATCTTAAAATTACCCACCTACCTGGAATCTTGTAGCCTGCCTTACTGTCAGATCAGAGTATTTGTGAGGTTGCTTACAATTTCTGACATGATTGGCTGCAAACACTGGATTATCTAGTCTCTTGGTAGTTCTAATCATGCTTGCATTTCAAAAACCATGCCTTTTGATATCTGAGGCATAAGTTCCTAAAGAGTTACGAGTACTGTGTTTGAAAACCTTAAATACAGTCAATGCTTTAAGTTCAATGCTTAATAAATGCAGTGGGCAGCCTGGCAGGGATGCTCTGAACTAATTTTGTTACTTACAGAACACTGACTTTAATGTAAGTACTCAGAACCAAGATCACAAAACCCCCAAGATCACAAAACCCCCAAGATCTTGAGGTGGTGAATATCATAGTCTGTGCTACTAGCATATTGAGGTAATGCTCAATCTGTAATAACTCATGCAGCACTATAGTGTTGTCTAAATTGCTCTGTATAGCACTTCTACTTCTCTGGTTTGGATGAGGACATTGTAGAATTACTGGGGGTATAATAAGAAATGTAATAAGAGAAAATGGAGCATGGGTGGGGGGAATTGTTACAATGATGGCAAAATAAAGAATACGTGTGGTTTTCCTAATTTAGTTATTAAATAATTAGTAAAGAGAAAAACATGCATCTATATGTAAGCTGTAATAAGTTCAGTTAATTTCATATGTAAGTTTAAGCACATCAGGCACAATGCCTACATACCCTGCTGTTGACCTACATTTTGAGTACCAGCTGACAAATAGAGTCCAGTCAAGAAGAAACTGAGTGAAATCTTATAGTTCAAGTTGTGTAATTAATCCAGTACGCTCTAATTTCAGTTCATCTCAGTCATCTAAACTATGTTCTAATAATCTTCAGTGAAACTGAGTTTTAAAATAGTCTTTTCCCATGTGTGACTGACACTGCAAGATGAGATGACTGTTACAGTGGGATTTGACTGCGTAGAATTGCAGTAGGAAGTTATTCTTTGACTGATAAGTCAAGCTTCAGTAAGTTTTAGCAGAAGGAAGAATTTCTAGAGGGAGTGATTCCTCAAAGGGATTCCTAAACTATCAGTCTTCAGTGTGTGTCTTTATGGAAGCGACTTTGCTAGCACATGGTTATTTTCATGTCCCCCACATCTTTAGGAACTTGAATGCTTGGATAGATTTCATAGGGAATATCCGGTAAGTAAAATAAGCAAATAATTGGCTAGCTAAGGGCTTCCCTAACAGAGACACTGTTTAAAACTACTGGTGGAAAATGGTGGTATTTGGCAAGTAGTATTTATTCTATATTTTGTTTTACACAGATCCGGTTAGGGTGTCACACCTAACAAATCGTGGCAGGCTTTTCTCTCAGAGCAATGATGCATATGAATGTTTTCCCCCTGCTGTTCTTGCTGCTTTGCAACTACTGCAAGAGATGGTCAGAGCAAGCTTTTTTTTTGTGTGTGTGTGTGTGATTTTCAGTGTATTCAAACGAAAGTGAAGTCTGGGCAAGGGATGTATGTACAGTCTGAAGGCTAATTTATGCTGTTCTCTACTCTTCTAATTAAAGAACCAACTGTGAAAGAATATTTTATCTTTGAGCCTTAAATATCCATTAAGTCAGCTGACATGCTGAGCAGACGTAGCAGGTCGAGTATATCCCTTGAAAGGGTCAAATCCATCGTCTTGTGTCAAGGTTGTTTATATATATATATATATAAAGTTGAGTTATCTTATAGTCCGAGCATTCAGATGATTCTCAATAAGTGTGTCTGTGTGTGTGTATTTCTTTCAGGGCTATTTTTAGGGAAACTAATTAAACTAGTTGGAAGAATAAAGGTTTGATCCTAGGACAAGAGATCTCTAAGGTCCTTTTCCTACATATAGCTGTAAAATCTAGTATCTTAAGCTTATATGTCTATAAATAATTCAGCTACTAGTCACTGTGTTGCTTTCCTAGCCAAAGTTTTTGCTGATGTTCCAGAAATAGACAAGAACTGAGATCTGAGATTTGTTTTGCTTTAGGTGCAGTGAGACTTTGAAACAAGACCACACCTCTCTTTGTTTTACACTTGGGTTAGGAATATGGGAGAGCTCCAGCACTTGCTTCTTAAATCGAAGAAAACCTGACAGAAAATTGCTTTTTAAGTGTAAGTGGTTTTGCAATTTGTAACACTTACTGTAGAAAGGACCAAGGAAAGAATATCAGACTTCTTGTCTGAAGCAGAGTTTCTTGTATTACTGAGTAATGCAAAAGTTAGGTAACTTGCATTGTGTAAGTAAAGAAATACTGATTTTTTTTTTTTTTTTAAATTTTTTTTTAATTAGTATGGGAAGCTTTAGTTTGGTTAGTGGTTCTGTGCCAAGGACCCATCTCATTCTGCATACCTGGTTTCTGAACATATCTGCAGGAGTATCTATTGAACAAATGTTTTTCTTTACTAGAGATGTATTTCAAAAATAAAAGTGAATTCAAGTTTCAAGGAGCATAATAGAAACTGGAAAATGTTCTTAACAGTCAGCATCTTCTATTGTTCCTTAAATCCCACCAGTGTAACAACTGCAGTTGGGTGTTTGGAACAGCTTAGGATAATAATGATGAAACTAATCACTTGTATGTTTAGACAAATAATAATAGTGGTGGCAGCAGAAATAAAAGATAAGTCAACCTTTTCATGCTGCTTGACCAACGCTTCTCCTCTGACCCTTCTACTGCCTAGCGTATTTATTTTAGTTCCTTTATTATTCAATACTTGCATACTGCCTTCTCTAAAATGAGATAGGAAGAGTTGTTATAAAGGCTTACATTGCATGAGGACTGTGAGAGGGAGAAATGTGGTTGGACCTAGAGGAGGAGTCAACCTGGAGAGCAGCCCCACATGATGCAATTTGCAACAGTCTGCCTATTTTGGAATGGTTTTCCAGCAGCAGAGTTTTCTGTGGTTTAAGGTTTTTAACTCCACAGCTGCAAGAAGGTAGTATTTATCTTTTCTAAACTCTGTTATCTGATGTATTGAAGTATACCTTTAAATCAGTAAAACTGGTCATGAGGGAACTTCCGTGTACAAAGTGAAACAGCCTTATGAAGAGATAACAAGATTTTTTGGCCTTTCTTGCAAAGAAAGGACCTCATATCTAGAGGAAACTGTACATTACATTTTGCTTGAAATGAAACTTTATTGAAGTTGATAGAATAATGTAGCAACTAAGGTGCAGGTAGGATTGAGGCCAAAGTATAAGCTCATAGAAGGAGGAAATAAGTTTTATCCTGATCAGTACTAATTAATCAAAGGCAGACAGTGGGAAGTTGAAACAAGTAGGAGCAAACTTTTTTTCTCTCAGGGAGGACTTTGTATATACAGCATGTCATGTTAAATATTTCATGCATCACTTCTGAATGTTTTTGTTTGAATCATTAAAATCATTGTTTAATTTGAGTGATACATGGGTGGTGGTTTTCTTCTGTTTGCTTGTTTTCTTAAATTCAATACCATGCATGAGGTCAGGAAATGGTGTGGTTTTAATAATACTTCGGCTGGTATATATGTAGGGGTGAGAGTTGCTTTCATTTTCTTTTTGCTTTTGATGGAAGCCGACCCCACTGTTACAGTCTTGAACACTGGTCAGCCCCTTACCTCTTAGAAGTATTTGCACAACGGAGAAATACTTCAGTCTTTAAGTTTCATTCTGAGAATACTTTTAAACCTATTAAATTGAACTGTTGGAATTGTCTGATTAATATGGTTTTCCTTCTCAAAAGCTGTCAGCTGACAAATGTTTCTGGAATAACTTTGAATTCTTGGATTTTATTTAAAATACATGAAATTGAAATAATACTGAACTGAAACTTCCATTGGAGACTCCTCTGTTAATATTCTCTTTTGATTAAGAGGGATTAAGGCAGTGACATGTTCACGTAAACTCATTATGCACAATGAAGGTGGCCTGAAAGCTGCTGCCATTGCAGTTGTTGGTTTTGTGTTTTGTTGGTTGTTTGTTTTTTTTTTTTTTAACTGTATGAAATAGGTAATTCAATAAACAGAGCAAAATACATGTTATTCCAGAAGATTATTTAGTTTAGAAAGAATTTGAATAGCATGTACTTTCTCTATAGGTATCTTGAACCAGTAGGTAATATATTAAAACTAATGTTGCAACTTGGAAATACTAGTATTAGGCTGGTTTTGAACCTGAGATTACACGTTGTTTTAAATGTAGCAAAAGTGTGATGATCAGATTCTTTACAACTGAAACCATTATTGAAGGCAAGAATATTGTCCTCCATGAACTAGCTGAATAAATTTATGTGGCAGTTTGGTAGCTACATCAATAAACTCTCAACTCATGTGATTTTTTTTTTTTTTGCTTTATTATAATATTCTAGGACTGTAGTTCATGTATATCCTCAATACTACAACAAGATACACGTTTGTTCTGTGGAATCAGAATAAACAGTAATATTTGCATATTCCAGTTTAAAGATAGACAGTAGTATTTAAGTAATTTGGGAATTTTAATGATATATATTTTTTGAAAGTTCTGAGAATTGTTGGATCTGGAAAAAGAGTTTTTTCTTTTTTTTTTTTTTTTTTTAGCTTATACACCTGACTTTTTGAAGTCTTCAAATGCATACTTACTAGTAGTCTGTCAAATGTTTAACCAAGGGTATTTTGGGACAGTAAAAGATATATTGCCTGGTTATTTTTTTATTTTAAAGTAAAGTTGTGATGGACATGTGGGAAGCTGCAGGTCACAAAATACAAAGTTTTAATGTGTTACCTTTATCCTAAATCTTGCCATGTATTCTAAAGATAAAGACTTCTTTGAAGCTGGCAAGTACTCTGTACATACTGCAGAGAATCAAGCAAATGGAACTGTTGCTTATTTCTGTGTGGAATGGGAGGTAAATCTTGCCCTATCATAGCATCTGTGCATTAAAAATATGCAGTGACATAAGGTTTGACTTCCACATTTCTTCTCATGGCCATTTCCTAGCAGCTTTATATTTGCGAAAGATCTGAGCATGAAGTTTCAGCTCATTTAGCTTCTGTGAAGGATCTTTCTTTTTTTGCTAAGAATATGGTGATCTAAACTAGTGATCTGGCTAAAAAATCCAGGTACTGTGTGAATGTTGCTGTATGGCCATGTAAGATACATTCTGCTTTCTAGGAGTACAGTTAACTGTAGTTATTATTTCCTTCTTTTCTGTGGAAATGAGTATTATTTTGTCTT